AGATGTGAGATGTTCTGGAGGCTTGTGAAGATCATTCCTCCGCTGAGGAACAGTGAAAGTAAAGCTTCTGGAAACAAACGCTCCTCAAAAGATCCTGATGATCAGATTTGAGACTCTAAAACATGATTGATGGAGAATCAAGTAAAGCTGAGCTGCTTCAGTCCAGTAAGTGTTCATCTGGAGATATTACTGCAGTTATTCTGACGCTTACTTGATAAAAACCAGTCAAGATTTGACACGAGAAGCTCCAGCTGAAGCTGGGCGTTTGTACATTTACACTAAAAGAACTTTTACTGGATAAAAAAAACTAAACTCTCAATCAGATGACAGAAGAACCAACGAAAAATCACCAAAACAGCAGCTGAAAACACACTGAGGCTTCAAATGAAGAAAAGTGAGGTTTCTGTAATGTTCATACAGTTATAAGTGTGAGTGAAGTGAACTGTATTTTGGGCCGCTGTATGTTTTACACTAGAAACACTTTTGCACTTCAGTGTTCCAAATACAATCTATTAGTGTATTTTGTTCAATATTTATATAGATTGATTTGAAAACGTATTCCTGTTTAGTGATATAAAATGAATGTTTTGAATCTCTTTCATCACACAGAGAATATGAGTCGTGATTTAGTTGATCTGTACCCTGAATGAATGTAGAATCATGTGAGTTTTGTAACACTGTAGAAATAAACAAATGAAATGTGTGAAATTTAGAGACGTGTGTGCTTGTGTTTATTGCTTTAGTCATGATTGAAGAGCTCATGAAACCTGTCTGGGTGATATTTTACATGAAAATCAAAGAGAAAGAAAAAAGAAATTAATATTTTGCATAAAAACTTTTACAGCTATTGTTTTTTTTTTTGCATAATGCAATTATTTTCATATTACCGCAATATATATATATATATAGACTGGTATAAAATATGATCTGGCCATGGTTTTTGTGAGATTCATCTATTTGCAATTCATTTTACATCCACAATATGGCAAATTTCCAAGTGAAGTAGGATAATATGTTTGGTGAAATTTAACACATACAGTGCAAATGTAAGTTTGCTAAAATGTATAAATATGTGTTTTTGTTTGTTAACGTGATTCGATGTCAGAGCGATGTCGATGTCAGACTCAAAGTCGTTTCAAAAGTGGATCATGTTATTATTGATGAATGATGAAAGATGAATTACCAAAGTAAATAGTTTTGATGTTGATTTTGAGGAAAGGCGGTGAAACTGAAATGAGATTGTGTGTCACTTCCTCTGGTCTGGTCTGTTTTATCTGATATATATATACACAGTATATCAGGTTGATTTCTGTTCTTGCTGACTGTCAGCAGTCGAAGCCTCCTCCTGGACCTTCACCGCAGGGCCGAATGCTAATTGGGTTTTAATTCAGATGGGAATCTTTGCAGATCAGCAATCATAAATGATTCAGACTCTTTGAGGAAAGCGAACGCTAAAGATTCATCTGCGCAGTGCTGGGATGCTTGTGTCTTTACCCGGCGTTTAAGAGCAGAGTACTGAGCCAAACTCATGTTTAATCAATTAGTTAAAAAAAATCAATTCACCTGGCCTAGAACCAAAGTGCTTTCTGCAAACTACGCACTTTTTTTTGTCAGAGTTTTAGGTTTAATGTGTTGAATCGACACTGGGAAAGTAGTAACCTGCGATTGTTACCTTAAAGACCCCTTACTGACTGATTTAACCCAAAAAATGAGTTTTGCTGGTCTCAATTAATGTTTAAGTTGATTCATTGATGTTAAATGATATTTTTGCTTTAAATAAAACCAGTTCAAGATTTCACCATTTGCTGCTGTGTAGTTCAATCAATGTGCACTTTTAAAATCAACACTATCTGTAATAATTTATTGAATTGCACATTGGTAAACATTAGTTTTTATAACAAAGCTATGATTGAATTATTTAGTGTTTGTTTGGTATATATCAGAATCAGAATCAGAATCAGAAAGAGCTTTATTGCCATCAAACTCAGTTTTCAGATATTCAGATATTCAGTTTTTATAACAAAAACAAAGTAATATTTGAAATATTTAGTGTTTGTTTGGTAAATATTCAGTTTTTACAACAAAAACAAAGCTAACATTTGAATTATTTATTGTTTTTTGGTAATATTTAGTTTTATATCAAAAACAAAGCTTACATTTGAATTATTTATTGTTTTTTGGTAATATTTAGTTTTATATCAAAAACAAAGCTTACATTTGAATTTAGTATTTTATGACAAATATTTAGTTTTTTTAATATTAAAAACAAAGCCCATATTTGAATATTGTGTGTGTTTTTAAGTAAATATTTAGTTCTAATAACAAAAACAAAGCCCATATTTAAATATTTTGTGTTTTTAAGTAAATATTTAGTTTTTATAACAAAAACAAAGCCCATATTTAAATAATTTTATGGTTTTTGGTAAATATTTTGTTTTTATAACAAAATCAAAGCCACCATTTAAATCATTTAGTATTTTATGATAAATATTTAGTTTTTTATATCAAAAACAAAAGCCCATAATTAAATTATTTAATGTTTTTTGGTAAATATTGAGTTTTTATAACAAAAACAAAGCCCATATTTAAATTGTTTAATGTCTTTTGGTAGATATTTACATTTATTACAAACAAAGCCCGCATTTACAGTATTTGGTGTTTGCTGGTAAATATCGAGTTCTTTGTGATCTTTCATCAAATTGCTCCACATCTGAAGCGTCTTTGTGTCGTAGGTTGATTAATGTTAACCAGTCGTTGTATTAGTCTAATCTTTGATGTTTCAACAGTTCCTTCTGGTACTAAAAATGTTTTGCTGTGGCTAAAAACTGTTAAAACCCTTTTACAGACTGAACTCATTTATGCAATTTTTATCTCTCTTTTCCCCTATCTTTTGGCCCGATGATGTTCAGGATGCCAAAGTAAGTTCAGCTTGTTCTCTGCTTCGGTTCTGTGTGTTGTAAATGTATTCGTGTCATCAGTGAGTCATTCATGGCAGCCCACATGCTGATTATTTTCAGATCTCGCAGGATAATTTTAGCTCGGCTCGTCTCCATGTGCTTCATACATATCAAATAAACCTGCTGAGCTCAGAGGGGTGGCACCGAACGACACGCCAGCAGATAATCTATAAAATAATTGCAAATGTATATTTAGCACACTGTTTTTATTTGATAGAAGACATTTAAATCAAAAGTTGTCACCTCTTGGTCAGCGTACACGATAGGGGTGCTCCGATCAGGGTTTTCGAGGCCGATCACCGATCACAGAAAGCAGTATCTGCCGATCCGATACCGATCTTTTTAAAGCCTTCATTTATCATTTATAACTATTTAGTGTGATACTCCAATCAGGATTTTTA